CCCAGGACTGCGATTACAGGCGTGCACCACCATGCCTGGTTTGGGGACCAGCACAGCACACCCGGGGTTCTGGGGCCTGCATGGCATGCGGTACTGGGGACTGAACTTGGGGTCTTTCGCTTGCCAGGCAGGTGCTTATGCTGCTGAGCTATCTCCCAAGCCCAAGCTGTTGTTTTTGAAACGGAAGAACAGAGAAGTACCACTTACAAGCAATTTTTTTGTTTATATGATTAACTTCCATTTATTATAAAATCTGAGGGATGTTTGGATTTACAGCCCAGCTTTAAAGCAGAAATTTTAGGTAAGATTTTCTAGTAAATTAGTACAGTTTAATATAAAGTTCAATCTGTAGTTCAGGTGCAAGTAAAGATAGGAATAGTCACAGTGCCCGGCACAATGAATGTGCCGGTAGTCCCAGCTATTTGTGAGGCTGAGGGAGAAGGTTCACTTCAACCTAGAAGAGGCTAGCCTGATTCAGATTCAGGATTGATTCTGAATCAATCGATTCAGAATTGATTCATAATAAGATTCTGTCTCTAAGACAAAAAAATATAGTCACAAATATTTGTATCAGAATCTTGTAATATAAGAACCCAGCACTCAAAAGAGAGGCTGTGATTTGACAAAAGTCTGCAGCAAATTAACAGCAAAGCCACGAAGAGAACTGAGGTCTGACTGCCAGATTTACGTATATGTACTTTCCACTGCTAGCTTCCAGGTTCCTGCCCTTTAATGGAGGAGGCCACAAGCAGGACAAAACAAGGCCAAGTCTAGATATTTTGAAACCTAGCAATTTCTGAATGAGAAAGCACTAAGCATTTCCATTATTTCAAGTGACACCTGGTGGTGTATACCACTGCTGATGAGGAAAAGTAACACATCACAAAGTCATCCTTTCCAACATTCAACATGATACTGTCAATATTTAAATAATTCTGGAGGCACCATATACTTTCTTCCATCATCTATAAATGTCAACAGACTTGATACTCCACATTCTAAAAGTCACAGTTGTCATTCAGCAACCACGCTCCATAGAGGGGAAACAACCAGGCGCCCACTACCCAGGATATGCTTGTCCCACATCAACCCCTTCAGATGAAACAGGCCCACATTAGAAATGAGCACAGGCTGAGAGAGATTAATGTAAGTAACTACCCAGAATCACAAAACTAGTGAGGAATACTAATCTTGAACCAATGCATGCTTGCCTTTAGAGCCCATGTTCCTTGTGCCCCCCAGCTACTGTCTCATTGAGTGCTCTGCCTCTTAAACACCTTAACTTTATAGCGGTGTGATTATCTTCACAAGCATTCAATTGCTCCCCATTTCCAGCATATAAAGTTTCCTTAGCATTTATGATGTTTTAATGATGCCTATAGAATCAGCTCTGGGCTCAATCTGCAGCATTAAAAACAGTAATGTTAACCCAAACTTATCCCCAACTGATGTCCTAATTCTAACTATACATGTGCTTTACCTTTAAATCCAAACCAGCCTATTCCAAAGTCCTCAAATCAGTTCAGTTTGACCCTGTGCCTTCAATTTTGAGTCTTTCTTGCCTTCACTTGAAACCTTTCCTGAATTTCAATCCTACCTCTCTATTTTGTGACCTTCCCAAAATGCCAACGTTTACATGGAGCCTTGTTTCATCAATCCAAATGAAAATTTGTCTTCCGAATTATGGAAGCACGGCAGTATTTATTTTGTAGAACCTGTTTCATTTTAAGATACAGACAGACATCCTAACATGGAATTCAAGATCTTTCTTCTTGCCATATATGACAATTACACTTCATAGTTCTCTGCCATGGTACATCTCCATGTGGAGGGCCTTCCCCACTTTCAGGGGGAGAACGGCTAATCATACTTCTAGAAGTACAAGGGGTGATCATAAAGCTATGGTGAATAAATTTTAAAAAATTATAGCCAGATGTAGTGGTGCAAGCCTGTAATCCCAGCATTGTGAGGAGGATCACTAGGAGTTCGAGGCCAGCTTGGGCCTACACAGTGAGTTTGAGGCCAGCCCAGACTGCATAGCCAGACCTTGTTTCAAAAACAAACAAACAAACAAAAAACCAAACCAAAGCCAAACCTAAAACTTACAGTCAAAGGCACATAGCCAAGAATGCCGGGGATATGTTAAAGGCAAGGGCTATTTTGAAGAGGATTGATGACGCAAGCGCTGATTACCCCTCATTGATCAAACGTTTACAGCAATTTCTGTCAAAAAAAAAATCACGGTGTGTCTTCCTTCACCTTACTCCTCGGATCTGGCTCTTCTCTAAAGTCAAAATGACCATAAAAGGCAGGCGTTTGTTTTTTTTTTTAATTTTTTTTTTACATTATTTATTTATTTATTGTGTGTGTGTGTGTGTGTGTGTGTGTGTGTGTGGCCAGCTTAGCCCACCAGGGGGCGGGTCTGGCTGGCATGTGGTGCTGGGGGATCGAACCGCGGTCCCTATGCTTTCCCAAGCTTGTTCCGAGTAGGTGCTTTAGACCACTGAGCCATCTCGCCAGCCTCAGGCAGGCGTTTTGAATGACTCAGGACA